TGTTCCAAGGAATGCTCACGAACTTCAAACGACCGGAGTGTCTATGTGTAAGTTTTTTTGTAGCTTAACGACCCGATCAATAAACAAAGGGTAAACGGAGAACTTTAATCCCTACTGGTAACAGGGGAAGAGGGCCAAAAGTGGTGGGTTTGGGTGTTGCGTGGACCCACAAGTAAATGATACCAATGCCACCCTGAATAAAAATGCGCAAACTATCCCAAAGAAATGCGCCTAGTTGGGCAATGTTATACGCATAAAAATCCTTAACCTTCTCTCTTCCTCATAACAGATCTCTTCTGGGATAGGTGATACAGGTACAGGTTTATAAGCATTCTCTACTTTTTGGAGTGGTAGATGGGGGTGTGAGAGTGGTGATGTCATCGTGTGCGTGGAGAACACCCTGAATACGTGAGGGACTGAAGCGGTCGCACATAAAGGTGTGATAACTGAAATTTCACATCGCTGACGCTGATGCGAAAGGGGGGACGTTAACCTAGCCTTGGTGTATCGTAGCCCTGAATATTGGGCAGAAGACTTCATCTTGAATAAGCTGACTCCCCGCGCAGATAAATGCAGATGCATAGCTGCAGTAGGATTCAAGGAATCATCGGTTGACTCGGATAAAATAACAACTGAGGTATCTTGTAATTACTTTGCTCGTGGGTTAATGGAAAAATTAGTCACCTTGGTCTTTACACACCCTACCATGGTGGTAAGTAGATAGGATTCCCAGAACCCCTGTCACCCCTAGACTAAGTATTATCCTACAAGTGATTAAACTAGAAATCAATTAATCTACTGATTCGGAAGGCAACTTACCCTCAGAAACTTCACACTACGAGTTTTCTAGCACTCTGTGTCAAGTTATCTTGCCAACTGGAGGCCACTTTACACCATATACGCCCCCTGAACGATGTCACTCACATCAGTAGGAAAGGTGCCCGGAGTTCGTGAACGCTGCCGCAATTTGGGTGATTACTCTTTTCCTGCACTACAACAAGCGTTCCCGGTGGAATCAATGTATAACGCCTTTAATGTATCGTGGTGAACTGGAAATACATCGATTTAGACCTTTGCCTCGGTTAAATGACTGGATATTTACCGATATTCCAGGCCGTGCAAATGAGCCCCATATGGTTACCAAGGCCGAAGGCTGAGGAAGTTTCTGATAAATAAACGTTATATTGCTGAATAAACTACTCATATACACCGGCAGTGCCCTCCAGTTATAAAGCCCCCTTCAATATTGCGCTCCTTCTACCCCGACAGTGAAACAAACCCTTGTTTTGAGAGGTAGTAAATTGCCGCAAGATTTAACGTGATCATGCACAACAATGTCTTGGTATGTCAGTTATAAAACCAACTATCATTTTGTGCGCTTTCAAGAATTATTAACCTGATGGCGTCCGTAGACCGTTATCTCTCATGTTAATCCCATTACATGAAGATGAAAGCATTCTCATCATTATTATTAAAGAAACTGTATGTTTCATCATGTACACAGCATCCCATATGAACATACTGTGTCAGTCTCAAAGTTCAATGTGGGCGTTTTAGTCTGGGTCGACACTGCAGCCACACCTTAGCGTAGAAGGCAAACATGGCGGCTGTGAAGCCTGCAGCCTCTTTGGAAGACTAAACATTTAGGATTCAGAATGCTCTTTAAAACGGATGTGCACATGCTAAATAGACCATTCTAAAGGGACAAAAGGCTATCCCCTGTAGATAAATCACCACATAGGAAAATAGTATGGTAGATTTTTGATGAACATCGGCTTTTCTAAGCCTCAGAAGCATTGCAAAGTATCTAGGGGTAAATATATCGCTACAATATACCTGTCCTGAATATACTTCAAATGCTTCTCGTGGGGTTCAAAGAAAACACTTTCAGAGGTTATTTTCTTATGTAAACTATACAAATAACACCCACAATCGCATATCCACCTTAATGGGACAAACAGAAACTAACCAACTGACTGAAGATGGTGGAAACAACTCGGGTGTCATGACAGGACATGTCACTCAGGTCCTCACCCAGAAACATTTGGCGGACATGACTCGAAAAGCAGAAGCGTTGACATACAACAGAACAGCTTGTGTGAACCCCAGTCATAATAACAAATTTAGGAGAGCGAGTACACTTGTTACTGAAGAACGATGGTTTTGGATGAACGAGCTGCACATTAGCCTACTCAGGTAACACGTGCCACAAGTAGCCAGCCCGTGGCTATTATATGTGCTCTTTTTTTCTTAAGACATACTACCGTGTAGGTGGGAGGAAGAGATAGTCCCACCTATTTACAAGCCAGGTTCTGGGAAGATCCCATCAGCTTACGGACCGATAGGCTTGATTGATACTCTTGTTAAAATCTAACACAGAGCAATCGAAAAAGACACCACGGTCTACTTGGTAACAATCACCTTACTATCAAGTTTGTAACATGCCTTAAGCAGTAATTTCCCATACTTAAAGGGCTTTCTCACAGACGGAGCGAACTGAGTTTAGTCTACGCATAATAGGAAGCTTATAGATATCAATTTCAGTTAATTGCATTTCATTAGGGTGTTTGATGAAGTGCGTCACTCCAGGTTTTTCATGATGCCGTAACATTTCGGAACTGCCTGCCATCCAGCTGCATGGATCAGAGAGTTCATTGCTAACTGGAGGCGGGCAGTAAGGATCAGTTTCTAACTATTCTCTTAGATGAACTTCTCGTTACCATAAAATATACATAGCTGTCGGCACTGATGGTATGGATATGCGGCGGGAAACAGGGGCTGACGTAGATGTACGCGTGCTTGAAACAGAGCTATACAGTTTGTTAACCCATCTACAGGAATGGCCCATATCGATCAATGCAGGTAACCTTACATCCAAACACATGAGGCATTCAAACGACAGGACCTAAAATATCGGTTGGTAGGGTTCTTGTACTCTTATTATTGACTTAGAGTGACCGGAAAGTTAAAGTAAGCCATGACTCAAGGACAGCAGATCATCATCAATTAGTACTGAACTCATTGATGAAGAGGAGTAACCTTCCACCTGGAATACGGGACGAGGTTGGCTTGGAGCTTCAGCAGACTAACTCAGGGGGAAATAACTTAGCAGCCCAGAAATTCCGAAATAACTCCTGCCAAGGAGCAAATACACATCAATCAGACACTCATACTGCTAAGTGGTTAAGTTACGCAAAGTTTGTGGGTTTTGGGATCGGGTGGGTCTTCAGGAGACTAGATCCTAATAAGTCTTCAAGAATTCATGAGATTTACCCAAGGGCGCTCAGGAAGTGTGGTGGTGATCTACGCGGTCGATGGGCAGACCTCCCCTAATATTCGTTTTTAGAAGCTGGGTCCCCTTCAGATTGGAGATTGGTAGCTATCATTCATGGAAATAAAAGCGGGAACGAACGTGCCACCCAAAACTATAGACCAATCCCATGGTCTCTCCGGTTGCAAAGGTCGTTGTAAGAATAGTAAATGACTCATCTTGTGACCATTTTATTGGGGACTGAATCCTAACCACATGTCAACACGGACCTTATATGGAAGGTCACGTTGCACCAACTCGACCGTTTGGAATATGCGGACAGTCTTTGATGAACAAAAGGCTTATTCATACTTGAATAGAGTCTTTTAAACCGTTGTCAGGGCAAACCACAGTATACAGCGTAATAAGCCTCAATTACGGGGGTACACAGAAAGTCACTCTTTGGACACAAAGATTACCCTGATAGTCGATTGCTCCTCCCAATCTTCCTATTTTGTATGGGTTTCCCCATCCTCCCATTCCTGGTTCACCTTCGTTTTTTTGCCTTTGCAAACAATTGCCCTGCAAGCCTAATTCCCCACTCTCCACTACATTCTGATTATCTCAAGGTTTGGAGCATGTCACAAGGGCCGACGGATATCTTGGTCCCACAGGGGAACCTTTCCAGAAATTCTGATCGGGCAACCCACAGAAGTTTGGAATTCTAACTGTGGACAAATGTGGGTGTAATTCTGCTTCTTATTCCCTGGGGGAAGTAAATGCCTCTCACTCAGATAGTGAAAGAGGTTTGGTAGCTACCCTCAGTGACCCACTTGGAGCTTCCGTCCATTGTCACCTTGCAGCCAACATGGCATATGTAGTCCTATAGTTTCTCTTTTGAGGTCTCTGGCGCCTATCTCTGATTTTTCACCACAGTTTACAGGCTTCATACTCGGCCTCTGGTAGAGAAAGACCTGCTAGTTACACCTTCACACTTGAAGAAGGACGTCCATGAACAGATTCGAGAAGAGCTGAGAAGAAAAGGAATGGATTACACAGTGAGCGTTATCTGAATCGCATAGTTACTTTTGAACAGCGCCCGGCACAACACAGGAGGACCACGGGGGATATGATAATGGGGCACCATATCGCCTGTAATCCTCTTCATCCTAGCCGGTCACTCTTAAGATGTAGTCAGAAAATCCAACTCAGAGGTCATCGTTTCAGATCAGAGCATGAGACAGCAGAGAGGACCATCCACGCCAACTCGTTTGTAATTAGAGGATGTAAATTATGTTGCTCTGTCTTTGGAGAATTTGTCGCAGCCCCTTCTCTCTGATGCTGTCAGAAGTGTGCTGCCTCAGATGCACACGTAGTCTTCTGATACACATGGGCTATATTGAAGAAATTACACATTGTCTTAAAGACCATGGGGAGTAACTGATCACTTAATTAACTGATTGCTTCTCTACTTTTGGGTTTCTTTGACACAGGGACAACAACTGTTATCACTCCAGAAAATTAACGTACTTCATGGGGGATGCAGAACCTAAAAACCATGATTCACTATTTCTGCAATATGAAGATTAACACTTATAAGCATTTTAGAAAAATAAGAGTCAAACATGAAGAAGTAACTTGGCTTATGGTAGCTGGCGAAACAGTGGATCTAAAAGTCTTTTATATGTTTTAATATTTTCAGCGTCACTTTTTCAAATCGTAGATAAGTTTTCGCATACAAGCAAGTTCGATGTACACAGATCCGAACTTTGAGGATACACCTGTCTAGTAGGGTCGATAACCGATTTAATATGCTTTAAGTGACCATAGTTCTGTTCTTGAAAAGTGTTACCAGCTGAAGCATGATAATGAGTCACTAAAAGAAGAGAACGTTAAGTTGCAATATCAGTTGGAGTCAGCAGAAGAAACTATAAAAAAGTCATCAACACAGCTTATTATCTTGGGCCAAAAACTAAGCAGGTATGATAGTGTTTTTTTCGTTCACTCACAAAACTCTCGTGATCATGAAGTATTTTACATCTCAATCAGCCGTAGCTAATTTTACTATTGATGCTTTCTTCTATTATAAAAAATTTGTTTGTGATTTTTCTTATCATTCAGTGATGTTCATTGGTGGCATTGTATTCATCTTGCAAGCAGTGACTATCGAGTACAAACAAAAGTCTTATTTAAATAAAACTTCCTCAAATTTGATCAGTCATTACTAACCAGAGTATGGTTAGTTTTTCCTTACGATACATTCAGTGTAAACATATATTTTGGAGCTGAACTTCATGATTATTTGGGTGACGAATTCCTGACTAGCTCAATTCTACAGCGAAATTTGCTGCACTGATATTTACCGATTCAGAATACCTCAGCGACTAATTTTGAACTTCAAGTAGTAGTGATCTACACGGTGAACATGTATCTACTGCTAGGCTGTACTTTTCCAAGTTTTCAGTTAAAATCGTGACAAAAGTAATCGCCAGTTGACGAAACGTTTGGCCAGATCGGTGATATTCCAGCCATTCCAATTATGGTGAAAGTTTAGGATTTGTCCTGGTGCGAACTTGACAGACGCAAAGACCAATCACTAATTATTCGAACTTGTTATATACCCACGAATACAAGACCAAGGAAGAACACGATAGCGTAGTCGGATGGAATAGTATATTTGGATGGTTATGCCAAAATACCGATGCGTTCCAACTGACTGGCTAGAGAGTCGAATACGAGCAATGCAACGTAACACGACAGCGTGCCAAATGGCGAGGATGCTTGACCGGGTGCCTTCAGCTTGGCGAGTCCAGTTAAACTATCAAGGTTAGCATCAATGTCGAAAGTCGTCAAACCCTAGGCTATTGATTTTGGGGAAGTGTATGACGCTACAAAAGTTTTGTTGCTAAGTCTTCTTGGAAAAAGCAACCTCATGCACCTACAAAAGAATTACTAGGTAGTCATATTTTGCCTATTTTGAGAACAAATGAGGCGTAAATATTTATGCCAACTGTGTAAGTACTCGTCGTACTGAGAAAAACTCGAGCTGCCTAAATATGGTCATTTAGGACCTTTGCCGACTTTTCCTCCAGATCCTTTAATCATCTTAAGGTATGTGCAACACCGTAATACATAAAAGGATAAACAATCATATTGATTTGATCCCTCGTCACTAGATTGGATATGGTACTACGCATAACATTACTGTGTAAGTAGTAGGACAAATGGGTCACTTATTGTCCTTCAGAAATATAAATTTCGGATAATTGTATTTTTGGTCTACTGTATGTCAATATTTCGGAGTCTTGAAACTTTTAGTTGAAAAATGTTGTACAATCCAAGGCACTTGATGTATACGTAGTCGATGGTAGTTAAAAGGTGTTGTAGAAAAGTATCCGTGTGCGCATTTGCACCAAATGTCTTTGCCAATGAGCACCCAAGTCATTTTTGGTAATAATGTCTTTTAATTGGATACAGGTAATTGTTTCCTGTCACAAACTTAAAAATTACTCCTGTGATAAGAAAGTTAACAGGTTTTCCGAGTAATAATATTCCCATCATCAGCTAAGTGGCTTTTGAAATCATCGCAATTCATGTTTTCGCTTGATAAATTTGTATTTATTAATATATTTTCTCATGTTTTTGCGTTATTTCAGACTTATCTAGGGTTATCGAAGAAGACATTCACTTAGTTCCTCAAATATTAAGCCTATATACAAACTTTAAGATATGGATTTTAGTATCTTCTTGGTGAACTGTGAAGATGGGGAAAGTGTGTGAAAAGCAGGATACTGACTGCAGCACATTGTTAGGTTGCTGGAGAATGACGACCTTCATGCTGTCTAGTCCTTAGTACAGATCGAGTTCTATCGATAAGTTTGCAATTTAATCACTAAGTTAGTAGACTCAACACAAAAGTGCAATTTGATTGATGTCAGTTGGTTGAAAGTAATCGGCAGGAAGTCCTGGACCTATTTTTATTGTTTGTTGGTATTTGTAATTCAGGCGCATCTGCAACCTCAAAGGAACTGACTTCACGTCAGACATTTGGACCTGTATCACCAAATGCTGCGGCCGGTCACGTCTCTTAGGACTAGACAACATGAAACCAGCTACACTGACCGATCAGTGTATGCACTCCAATCACACAGAAATTCAATAACAGCAAAAACAGCTTGATTCTCAGGTCCCTTACTCCAGCCATGGTTGATAAGGATTCAAATCTCTGAGAAGACATCAAAGACATTTTGTTTGGGGATAAACATTAGTGACGAATGCGGACAAGCACGAAACCTATTTTAGGTGCTTCCTGTTGATTTATCCTAAAAATCTAACGTTGATTATAGTTCCATCTTTAATTTTTATTCAGTCACTTGAGAAACCTTAGTTACTTTGGCATAAAATCCTGAATAATATAGGATAAATTTCTTCCACGTGCAATGAGAAATATACAGTACCAGCTGTAAAGACTTACTGCTCCTAAAAGTGGAGTGGATTATCAGTAAACAGTTCCCATGAATATGTTAGGTTTCAAATGATCTATTGTGGTTTGAGACTGTCAAGATTTCCATATCTTCGGCACTTTCCATAAAATTTCCGGTGCAAACCTTTTTATCCCTCACTTGTCACCGTGAACAAGTATTAAAACTGTTTGATATGTTCTTCAATAAATGTAGATTGACTGATTATGGAACACTGTTTGTCACAGATAGTGCACAAATGTCTTAATCATGCCCGTCGATGTAGGTGTGACTATATATGGAGATATTAAAAAGTAAAAAATATCCAAGTGTATCCTAGTGTGCAGTTGCCAAAAAGTTATTTTAACCAAAGCGACTGACTGTAAAATGCTGTGTTAAGGAATTTTGTAATACTATAAGTGAAGAAAAGTAAGAACATATTTCAGAGTTCATCAATGGTAGTAGATACAAATATTCAACTAAGCAAACACATTGATAGCATCGATTTTAGAGCCAAGCGAATCATGTAACCACTCAGACGCATGTTTTAAAAGCTGATGAACTACCATGTCTTCAACGAATGACAGGTATACTGCAGCAAATTGTGAAATTACTTTATAAGAAAAGATGATGAAAATAATCACAGTGATTTCAGTTTTTCTCGCTAGCTCTGTTTTCCATTTTCATCATAATTTTAGGATCGATAAATTTGAAAATAGATAGAGAGTTATTTGCAAAAGTGATCTGATCACTGGAAACCTCATACCAGACATACTGTGCATATTTATAACCATTGTTTTCTACCATTTATCTAAGTGGCATGACTGGTACTGCCAATATCCACAGTGATGAGTGCCTTAACATTAGTAGCAAGTAAGGCGGATTTAAATTATCATCGGGTTGCGCAATATAGTTAATGGAAAAATAGTTGGTTAGAAACCACTTAAGTTCCATATGTTGACTAACTATAATCTTAATGGTTGATTTGCTTATATGAATCGATTTCTGTCACAAGCTTGGTTGTTAGTGACTGAGTTTGTCAATTTCACTGGATTTTTGAGTCTAGTTGTGGTCATATGACCATCAGGATAGTGACAGATCAGTTACGATTTGTTTGATACTTCAGCTTTCCTTCATTATAAGTTTTGTTTTTCACGCTTTTACGTTCAAAAATTCTGAAAAACAGGTATTTATTGCATGGTTCTCCATTTTCTTTCAGTTACTAGATCTTAATTACCTTAGATGCACTCTTTTGTTGTTGTTCCAATCACTTATTTGGCTATTTGATATTCTTCACTTTATTTATGCTACTCATGAAATTGGTCACTACCAGTCTACATGTGGTACCCAAATCTATGTATCTGTTATTCGTATATTTCCATTTTCCCATGAAAGTGTTTCAAATTGTTGACTGAAAGGGGAGGCTGTGTCACTAGATTTCTGATTTCAGATGTCTCTAATACCTATACCTTCTGTATTCGTCACTCATCAGGTATTTTTTGAATGCGATCCGTTTTTATCAATTTTCAGGCACTCTTTTCTGTTCATGGTTTACAGACTTTTATCAAACACACCACTTCTTGTATTGAGCGATTATTTCCACTAAAAGCAATATCACTACCCAATTGATCCCAACTCGTTTTTCCAAATATAAATCTGTTTGTATTTCATTTTAAAATACTGTCACCGAATGGCAGGTTTTCCCGCCGTCTTGTTTCCACTCAGTTGACTGATACAACGATTATACATTATGTAAAGAGAAACAATATCCATGTTAGATTAGTCTCTTTGGTGTAGCACAAATTGATATGGCCTTTTGTTATCAGTCAATGTTACTGAGTCACTGTGTGCTGTATCAAAAAGACTAATGTAAAATGGAATTACATTTTACCACATTGCCTAAATTCTATACTTTCATTAAGGTAACAACATCCGAATTATACCGATAAAACTAGATAGTTTCTTTTGTTATCCTATCAAAACCACAAACTGTCAACACTAAGATGAAGCTTGTATTAGTGCTGAATTTCCGTTGTTTTCTTTGAGTAAAGAATGAAATATAAACCAAGTGTTATTCCGAGTAAATATATGATTTTCTTTTAACATCACATTTGTCACAGAACCGTTTGTTACACTTCACAGAGGATAACAATTGAGTATATCAGGGTATGCAGTGTGAGTGAAAATTTATGTTGCTGAAGAAACCGTACATGCAGCAGCCTACACCCTCTTCTCTGAGACGATTTGTGTCTTATTTATATTGATTGGTTTATTCAGCAAGCTCTATTTCGTCTGCAAGAAGACATTAGCTTCCTCTAACTAAGAGGCGTAAAATGTCATCTTCTCCTCTAGTTTTACGACTTATGTTTCTTACCGAATGGGTTGTCATACTTCAGTTATCTATTACTTGCATACCAACAAGACTTGATGAATGTCAAATATTTGTCGTGTGTATATGTTTATTCTACAGGAATAACTGCTTTGCATTATCATGACTGAACCATAGACTACCTACCGTTA